AAAAAAAAAAAAAAAAAGATAAAATATGAATAGACCACATCATGCCTCTGCTTAAAATTTTTCAGGGACTCCTCAGAACCACCAGGATAAACTTAATTTTCTAGAGCGGGTCCCTGCCCCCCTCCCTCCATCACCATACTCTTGCATCCTTGGGCCACATGCCAAATAGACCAGGTTATCCATCTTCCCAAATGCCTAGCATGCACCTCATTTGTAGAAGAGGCATATTCATTCATGGGGGGACCCAGTCATTCTGTACCACTTAATTCCCTCCAAACAAGCAACTTGCCAGTCAAGCGTATGGTTGACTGAATGAATGAATACATTGTCCGTGTTAACAATTTTTAGAAGGTTTCCAGAAACCCTCTCTGCCCCTTGCCATGGCCCTGGTCCAGGCCTCTTCTCCGCTCACCTGTGCCTCTGCAAAGCTTCCCTCTCCCAACTGCTCGGCTCAGAGGGGCCCCTCTGGTCCCTCCTCTCATCCTGCACCAAACTGGAAATCCAACCACACCCCACTCTGGCTCCAAATCCTATGATATATATGCAGCAATGTGGGGGAAGCTCAAAGCCAGTCCCAAATGACCCCATGCTGTGTGATTCCTTTGATAGGAAATGTCCAGAAGTGGCAGATCCGTAGAGATTGAAAGGCTAGTGGTTCATTAGATCTGGGGGAGGGAGCACGGGAGAGATGGAGTGATAAAACAGGCTTGGGGGGTTGGAGGTGAGGGAAATGTGCAGTAGATACGGCTGTACTCATCTGTGAATACACTAAAGGTCTTTGAATTGTACACATTGAACAGGTGAATTGCACGATATGTGTATTATATTTTAAAGCTTTAAAAAAAATTAAAAAAAAAAAGAAACAAATATCCCGTGATGGCTTCCCATCCCTGGCCAGGGAGACCCTCAGCTGCCACTTAATCACTGCTACGGCGTCATAGCACTTACTGTGGTTCTTAAGCACATTGTGTGGCTGATCTCACGTCACCCTCACACAGCTTTCTAATGTAGGTGTTACGCAGCACCCATTTTGCAGATGGGAACACCGAGAAGAGAGATTCGAGGGACTTGCCCGAGGCCACACAGAATCTTGCTGTTTTGTCTAGCACGAGTACTTCTTGCAATGTGTGATAGGAACTGTTTACAAGTTTCTCCCCACCGGACCGGAGGCTCCTGGGAATTGGTGATTGTGTCTGGTATTCCCTGCCCCTGGCCCAGTGACCTTCAGAACTGGCTCAGGAACCTGGGAAGGACGTAGAAATGTATTGGGGGTGGGTGCAGTGGTCTCACAGTCTTGGACCCAGGTTTCCTCTGATAAAGGCAGCGTCTACCCAGCCTGCACCCCGCCACCCCCACAAGGAGATGGATTCTAGCAACTGTTTTCTCCTGGGCCCTTGTGTGGTTTCCCTCCCAGAAGCCTGTCTCCCCTCCCGGGGCTTCTCCCTGTAACCAAGAGGTTGGCCCTGCCCAGAGCCCCTAGCTGCACCCCTGAGGCCTGGTTCTGCCTCCCAACTGCCCCCAAATGCAGCAGGCAGGACAGGAAGCTCCTCAGAGGCCCCACCCTGGGCCCTGCTCAGCCCTGGCTCTTGTGCCCATGCCAAGTCTCGGACTCAGGAATGCTACCAGTGTCCCCTGACGTACTGGCGGGTGGTGCTAGATTTGACAGGGGATCAGGGAAGGCATCCCCGACTGGACACTGGGCCTTAGTGAAGTCAAGAGGTGTTTGGAGAATAGGGGCCTTCTCAGGAGACAGCCCGGGGGCGGCAGGAGTGACCACAACTCCTGAGGGGACTCAATGATAGGTGACTCAGCAGTGGAGGCGCTCCAGAGGGAAGCAGACAGTGTCTCCACACAGAGTCTCCAGCCCTGACCAGCCTGGAGCTGGTACTTTACCCTCCCCGCTTTCATTCTTTTTTTTTTTTTTTTTT